ATCGGTTTAAGAGTTGAAATCAACTACTTCTTAGACATAGTATTTGATTTCTTGTATTCCTTCAAATAGTTGATTATTTCTTAGTAAAATATTCTCTAAAGTGGACACTGATCCTCACTAAATCTTATTGTCTTTAGTGGAACTCATGTTCTAGGTAGCGCTCTATTTTACCATACATTGTCAAGCAACAAGTATTCTTAAGCAACTTTCTGCAGAGTATTGTGACACTTCTAAAACAATTCTAAGGTTATCTGACAAAACACATCAAAACACAACAAATTAATTTTTCCAAATATATCAGAACTTATGTATCTAAATAGATTTTATACTTTGCTTTTGAATTATGTATATAAAATATATTCATAATGATTGATAAATCATGAATTATGTAGATTCCTTTGAAATTGTCTTGAAAGCCAATCTATAGGTCATTTAAGAGAACAATTTTTTTAACTAGAAATGCTGTATTTCATGTCTACTCCTCATAATTGTTAGACCTGGCTCCAAATGACTTAGATTTTTCTCAAAATCAAATCCACCCTTAAAGGACAAAAATTTTTAACTACAGCACTGAAGAAATTAAAGACAACGAGCTATAGTGTAAAGGCAATTCCAACGACATTTTGATAGACGATAGCAACACTGGAATAAGCACTTATCTTCTTATGTTCTACTACCTTGAAGATGACAATATGTTGTTTTAAAAACATAGATATTATGTTATGTTTTTTAAAAACTGGGCAGAATTCCTTTCTGACTCCTTCATACTGAAGATGTTTTAGGAAACAAATATTAGTAAATACAAAATAATTATAGTAAGAGCAAAGCATAAGAACACAAATACAAGGTACACCCACTCAAGAACTGAGGTTAAAATTTTACCTTATAAATATTAGAATAGTTTAAAAAATACATTTCAGTGAATTTCAATAAACTTACTTCATGAGTATTAAATTAACCCATATGTGAAACCATGACCTTTGGCGGCTTTCCTGACATAGTTAGGAATTCATTCCCTCCTCCTCCTCTTCTCCCCTACTAGTGCAAGGCACAAAAAAGCAAGAAAACAAATGGCAACTCTTATGTATAGTAATGAAACAGCAGGTGATTAAATGTAATGTCAGAAAAGTCTACTTGGAGAAAGGCTGTGGAAGGAGAAAAAATGCCTTAAAATCAGTTTAAATTGTTTTAAAAATGCTTTTGTATTATGTGCTTAAAGAGAATTATGATATTTAGTCTCCTTCCTCCTTCTTGAACTTTGTCATATTTTTAGCATCTCTGTAGCTGGGTGGTAAGAAAGTTTATCAAAAAATTAATACTGAATGATGATGAAATTACTGTCTTACTGCTATAGTGGATCCATTCTTGCCAACACCACCATGGAGGATAACATGGAAATAATTTGAACAGGAAAATATTGTTCCACCTAATACTCCAAGAACCGGTAAGATCTTCAACTTTATTTCTAGGATGGGTATCTTTAGGGGTAGAGGAAAGAAACAAATCATTAAGAAAACAGAATTTCTTTTCCTATTAAATAGTCAAGAAACATTATGATTTGGCTCTGTACAATAAGCTATCCTTTTTCTTATAATCAAACCTTAACTTCTGGAATATAACCTGAAGCGGTAACTTTTCTTTTAATGGTTTTATCTATTAAGTGAAAAATGAATTCACCAAATCCAGCTAAGTCTACTTAAATAATTGTGATGAAATATTTTATCTCACAAGTCTTCATCTAATTTCAAGGAAACATGAAAAAGGATAGTTCACTTGAATTTAGTACCTCTAAAAGGCAGCATCACAGGAAAGCCTGATACCATGATCTGCATCATGAAGGTGACAAATATGATGTGTCTGCATGCAAAAATTTTGTGTAGTTAATATCCAGGATTAAATCTCTAGCAGTATATTTACCTGTTGATCAATTGCTGTTCAAGAAAACTTCCAAAGGCAGCAAAGGATTTAAAAAACAGTAACAATGAATTGCCAAAAGCTGTAGGCTATTGTGTTTTGAAAATATACTTTGACATACTGTACCAAAATTTGTGGAAACTATAGATTAACAATTAAATTTAGAAAATCTACAGCTAAAATAAGTATTCTTATTGGTGAGAATGAGCAGGTAGGCTTTCCTCCTACAATACTGCTAAAACACTGAATGAAATGACTTTAAGATTAAATTAAAATTCTTCCTCAGTATATCGAAATCAGAATTCCAACTTAAAGACAATCACATCTGACAATGATCAGAGTTGCCTAATTGCCTCTAGGTCCACACTTACCTTCTGGTATATTTTAGAGACCTACAGTGGCATATCCTTGATTCTATTATTTATTCTTACATAATATGAATATATAAGAAATAGGAATGTCTCAGGGAATGTTCCTCTACTTAAAAATATGCTCAAAGTCTATTTCTGAGCCTAGTAATAATGAACTGTAATTGGCAATTCTGAAAACTAAATGCCACAGAGAAATGTCTTACTATTTTTTAAAAACAGACTTAGTTTTTAGAGCAATTTTAGGTTCACAGCAAAATTGTACCAGGAGTACATAGAGTTCCCATATACTCCTTGCCCTCACACACACACACACATCCTCCCCCACTATCAACATCCCCCACCAGAGTGGTACAATCCTTGAACCTACACTGACACATCGTTATCACTCAATGTGTACAGTTTATACTAGGGTTCACTCTTGGTGTTATACATTCTATGAAAAATGCACAATGACAGGTGGATGGGTGTCCACCATTATAGTATCACACAGAATGGTTTCACTGACCTAAAAATCCTCTGTACTTTGTCGATTTACCCCTTCTTCCCCCCCAACCTCTGGCAATGGCACTTTTTCACTCCATCATTTTGCTTTTTCCAGAATGTCATATAATTGGAACCCATACAATAAGGAGCCCTTTCATATTGGCTTCTTTCACTACATAGTATGCACTTAAGTTTCCTCCACATCTTTCCAAGACTATCATGGCTCTTATCTTTTTAACACTGAATAATATCCCATTGCCTGGATGTACCACAGTTGATTTATTTATCCACCTACTGAAGGACATCTGCTGAAGGGCTTGCTTCCAAGTTTTGGCAATTATGAATAAAGCTGCTATAAACATCCATGTTCAGGTTTTTGTATGGATGTAAGTGTTTAATTTATTCAAGTAACTACCAAGGAGTATAGTCCTAGACCCCATGGGAAGAGTATGTTCAGGTTTGTATCCCTTACAATTTTTACTGGAAGGTATATCACTTTGTGACTAAAAAGAGCGTCTGGAGTCAGTCTGCTTAATTTCTAGTTCCAGTAGTTACTAGCTCTGTGTCCTTGGACAAATTACTCAATCATTCTAAGATTTCATAAGACTGTTCTGAGGGTCAGATGAAACAGTGACGGTAGAATGTTTAGGAACACAGTAAATGTTGAATGTGTTGGTTGTGGACTATTGATATCACCCTTAATATTCTTTTTAACTCTATGGGCCTGAAGCGGTGAGTCAGCCAATACTGTAAACTTAGGTTGTAGAGACAGAGTAATTTGTTTCTTCATAAATTTTCTCCCTATGCAAAGCATGAATTGATAACATGGCTTCCTGAGAGTCAGCTTTTATCAGTATTTAAAATACTGAGGTCTCCAACCAAGCAGAAAATAAAAACACTCCTTAACATGGGAAACTTCACTCAGAGTAGATTATAAAAAAAGCAAATTGGCAACTTTTATTTCCAAATATTGAGGGACAAGTTTCAAACACAGAATATTTTACTAACTTTACTTTTTATGTATCTATTTTATGAGATAAATTTTGGCCTGGAAAAGGTAGTTCAACTAGTGTGCTTAATTTTGTATTAGGGATAAGTAGTCATTTCCTTTTATGTGGTAATATATTCATGCATGGGGAAAACGCCATAAGGTATACAGGATAGTCAAATTATAAATGAAGGGGAAAAGTTAAGAAATGGAATGAACAAGGATTTCTGAAGGAAATTAACAGTGCAATATTCTTTTCTAAATATTTAAAAAGTACTTGAATATAAATTTAAGTATTCAGATTTACCGTATAGTCCCATATTGTTGCTCCTCCAAATGTCGACAACACAAAGATAATCAATACAGTTACCTGAATTTCAGTTACATCCACTCTAAAGAGGAAGGATAAAGAACAGAAAAGACATTTATAAATAAAATCCCTAAATATGAAGGTTAGTTAACCATGTATTAAAATCAAAGATGTAAAAATCTCTATAGGCTTAGTTTATTTTTGCCTTTAGTTTTGTCACTGAATTATCAATTAACTATACTGTTAAGTGAAAAAGCCTACAGAACATGTGCTCACATATGGATAAACAGTAATATGCATGGGGGAAAAACTTGCACAACATACATAAAATTGCTAATAGTAGTCATCTCTGAGGTTACACAAGGCTTTTATTATCTACTTTATGTATTTCTGTGAAGTTTGAATTTTTTAATAACAATCACGATTTACTCTTATAATCAGGAAAAATGATAATAACATAAAAACAACCAGATGATTTAAGGCAAATTCTTAAACACAAAGTCAATTTCATTTAAAAAGTAGGGAAAATTCCAACAGTTTTTCTCACTAAGTTTCTAATAGTCACTATAGTTTTTTGGTTTCCACAGAAAAATTTCCCCTAATATAGAAACACGCTTAAACTTCTTTCAAAAACTCACTCACCAACCAATGTCAGTCTCTAATCTGCATCCCCTGAAGCTATCAACTTCTTTCTCCTTTGCTCCATAAACAGGCTAACTGAGAAGTAGTCTATATTTGTAACTTCCTCCTTCATATTTGCTGCTTAATCCACGATAGTCAAGTTTGGGGCCCTATTCTATTAAAATTGTTTAAGGTAAACAGTGACTTTCAATTTGTTGAATGTAAGGGATACACTTCAGTTATTATCTTGCATAACTCCTCTGCAATATTTAAAATGCTGATCACTCCCTCTTTCTTGAAACGCTTTGCTGTGTTTCTATTTTTTCCGCGCTCTCTCATGTTTCTTCTACCTTGCTGGATGCTCTTCCCAGGCTCCTTTCTCCACATTTTAAATGCTACTGTTTCCAGAACTCCTCTTATCTCTTTTCAGATTCTCTCAGTAATTTTATCTATACTTAAGACCACTACCTATATGCTAATGACCTCTAAATCCATTTCTCCAAATCCACCTCTTTTTTCCTGAGCTTCAGGTTTTTATAGCTGTCTACCTACTTTACATCTCTGCTTAGATGCCCTGGAGTCTTTAGATGCTAGAGGAATACTTATTGCTCTGCAAATACAAGAAATGTAGGGATTAGATGATAAAACAGAACCAGATAATGGAAGAAAATATGATTCTCAACTAAGTTATTTGGAGAATAAAGGTGAATGGAGCATTAACCCACAAACAAAAGGAAAACATAATGACCTCCAGTATTTTTAAGGTCAGTGATGGACAAACAAAGACCTCCAGGCTGCATGGAGAAAGTCAGGTTAGTTGAAAAAGGTAAACATAATCATATAATGCATGGTATTTTGTGGAGAAAAAGGGGGAAATGTACTAATACTTACCGAGCATCTATTATGAGTCTTATGAACTATAAATTATGCCTTTTTTGGGGAGAAGGGGAATTGAAATGACTTTTCCATGCCTATATTGAAATAGCCGGACATTGCTATAGGAAAATGACTTCAGAGCCAACATTCTTCCTATTATATTTATGATTTATTAGCAGAATTTTGCACTCTTTTTCCAGTAACAGTGCTAAAATTATATTAAGTTATCCATAATTTTTCGAGGGTATGACTAGTGATCAGAAGTAACTAGGAAAGCTGATAGAAATTATAGAACAAACGTTCTCTCAATAAATTAAGTAGCAAAATATAGTAAGTTTTTTTGCCCAATTAAACTCTCATTTGGCATATTTTTATTCAGTCTTTCAGAAAGATAGAAACCACATTAAAAAGGCTTAAATCAAGAACAGATTCGTCCATGAATGACTGAAAAATTGTGCTGAACACTGGAATTTGACACAACATTGTAAAATGATTATAAATCAATAAAAAATGTTAAAAAAATCAAGAACAGATTTGTAAGACAAATTTCCATAATATATTCTGAGATTGTTTGGCCTGGTTTCATGTATCTGTATTCCAATAACATAGACATTATAAAATTAAACCTTTCAAAAACTAAGATTTTCAGGAAATCCATCCTACCCTACAGACAACCGATGCTGACTGACTTTGTAAGCATTTCCAGAGGCTTGGTTGATGTCCTGTACATGGATCCTTCTTGTAGGGTTAAGCTGTACCAGCAATATATCCTACTCAATGCCCAGTGACATTTTCACTTTGGTAAAGTGAAAAAATAACAGATTAGGGTCTCTACCATACAGAGTAAGTATTTTAAATGTCTGATCCCCTGGGCACTGCAGGATCTCCTCCAGTCCCAACACGCTTGGTACTCAACCACAACAGCCATTTCCCTAAGTTCTGAGTACTTCTTGTCCTCATGCTTCTGCCTAGAATGCTCTACCCCAGTCTGTCTGGTATATTCCGCCCACAAGTGACTCATCTTGTATCTTCAGTTCTAGGCACACATTATTAGTATAAAATGTACAACTAGGCTAGGAATATGAACTAACTCACTTCAGAAAGATTTTTAATGAAGTCAGAAGCTAAGAAAGTAAAGTCTAAGTCATTAAACAACAATAATTAACCAGAATGTTGCATTATCCATATTACTCCAGTTTACTATAGTGAGTTCAGTATATTAACATGCATTAGATCTTACAAAGCTGTGTTTCTATTTTAGCCTATTTTAATCTATATATAGGTATAGATTCTTAATTTTACATAGCTGCCTTGCATTTTTAGCCTGGCTTTTTGATCCTTGTGCTCTTGACCAGTAGGTAAGGAATCAGCTTGAAGACTCATATTTTTCATGAAAGCTTTCCTAAACTAATCAGCTTCTCCTTTCGCAGGATTTCTTCAGTGCTGTGGAAACCTGAAGCAGGTCATTTTTCATGTGGTTATGGACTGCATTAGCAGTACCACAGAAGTATTATTCCATCCCTTTAATACAATGTACTATATAGTCCCTAAAACAAGGGTTTTTTAAAAATGCATTTTGTATCCTTCCACAGCACCTAATACACTGATAATCCCACAGTACTAAGCAGTAGTCATTGAGAGTGTAGGGTTTGGAGACTTGAGTTTCAACCTGGCTCTAGACTTCTTAGCAGTATAAAGAAGTTACAGAACCCCTCTGCCTTGCTGGTACAATGAAGGTAATACCTTGCAGGGTTCATGGGGGCATCCACGAGATAGTGCACATAAAGCACTGAGTACAGTGCCAGACACATGCAAGTGCTCTACAGGTAGCAGCTGCGATTATTTCCTAATTTGGAGTCAATGTGAAAAATTACTGAAGGCCTTTACTCTGCTAAACGATCTGCAGTTTTGAGCTTCTCCTTTTATTGATCATTATCAGGGTTTTTTGTTTTTTGGGGTTTTTTTTGTTTTTTCCCAGAGCTACTGATCCTCCTAAGCAGCAATAAAGTGGGGCTACAAAGAATCAGTAGACAGGGGAAGCCAAAGCTGAGAAGGAGCCAATGGCCGACAGCTATTGTAGGATCGGGCAGAGAGGAAGCCGGTGGGACACGGGGATGGAGAACAGAGTTCCGGCCTCGTGCACTACTTCCCAGTGCCTAAGAATGAAGCATCAAGGGCAAATATCACAAGATGCTTTTACGTTATTTCATCAACTGTCCACCACAGCTGAGAGTTTTATGATTACTGTTGTTGGTAACTGCTGTAAGGGGATCCCCTTTTTTGGACACATAAAAATTTGACTAAAAAGGATCTTTAGATTCCATATCTCATTGTTTTTATCATATAAGTCAAATGCTGCTTATTTAAGTACTGCATATCCTTTTTCTATATTACGTGGGTCCCTTATTTTTCTCTTTCTTTTGTCTAATGTAAACTTGGGCTAGTAAGTTGGAGAAAGGGAGAAAAAAATAAAAATTATTATAGAATAAATATGTAAGTATAACATGAAGAATACTTAAAAAGACTAAAATTAAGGTGTAGCATTTGGGGATGCTTTAATAAATTAAAAGATAATTTAAAATTCTGATTGACACTTATTATATCCCCCTTATTATTGATAAATGATGTTATGACAGCTTGTGAAAATGAATTTGATTGTGTTAAAATGTACAACTTAAAATACATACTTACTTTCCAAATCTCAACACGCCTGAAACATAAGTCTGCCAATGAGCACAATAAAATATGAACATCCCAATAAAAGAGCAGAAAAACAACCAGTCGGGATGAGTTCCTAAGCGAACAGCAATTGAAGCTCCAACTGCCATAAATACTGAAAGAAACGAGGTTTAAGAACTGTTAAGAATTAAAGATAATTAATGAAATAACTGCCATGCACTGTTTAGATATACAGAATTTTAAGGTGCATAATCTTGGCATTAAAATAAGGCACACTAAACAAAATTAATTCCTCAACATACTTTTAAAATAAACTCTACAAAATTGTTTCCAAATATAAAACTGCCCAAAAAAACTGACCAAACAGCTCAGTTCATTTCAGTTTTAAGCCATCATTATAAACAGCAAAAGACAAAAACCAAAAACAACTACAGGGAAAAAACCTCCACTCACTTACCCGTGGAGAGAGAGTCACAACCATGGTCAAAAAGTTCCCCTAAAGGAGAACAAGAATTTGTTCTTCTGGCTTGTTTCCCATCAATAGCATCCAGTGACTGGTAGATGAAGAGTCCCAGTGCATACAGAAGGTATGCCCAGTATGGTGCCTACAAATAAACGTACACAATGAAGACTGGTGAGTGACAAAAAGCTAGCTTCTGTTTGAAAATAGTTCAGCCTAAGCCAATGGATCCGATCCATTTTCTTCTGTTCTCACCTTAGATCATCTCAGTGCGTTACGAAGAATATTCGTAACCCTCCTTCTACAGATGAGCATTAAAATGAGAAATGATTTGCTCTGTCATCTGGATAGAGAGTCACAGAACTCCATACTGTGAGAAGCACAACGTTAAATGACCAAGCAAGGATTAGGACCTTGATTTTGATTCTTAGTCCACAGCTCTTTTAATACTATTCATACATGGCACTGGATCTGAAATTATTCAGTCAGTTTCTGCTATGAAAAAAGACCTTAAAGACAAACCACAGACCCCTGTTTCCATCTGTGATGGCAGGTCAGGGACTGGATTTACTCTCCCATCTTGTATAACTAGAAAAGCAATAAAATAAATAAAACAACAGTTTTCAGACACTGCAGGCAGCTCAGGACTGTGGCCCCTGACAGAAGGGAAAGAAGAGGAGAGCCCCGTGACTGCCCGGCGTAATGCCTACACAGGCAGCTTCCAGGCCACAGCACGGAAGTGGGGAACCAGAGCGGAGCCCGGCGGTCCTGGAGTGATGAGGAGAAACATAGCAGAGTTTGGGAAGGTCGGGGCAGCTAGAATCTGTTGGACAGAGCCCTGGAGAGCAGAGGGGTTCAAGTTGTGGAGGTCTACAGAAGGGTACCTTGGAGGCTTTGGCTGAGAAGTGACCTGTGCCTGAATGAGACGAAACTACTGGAAAGTGCAAGGCCACACAATTCTTGAAGCCCATGCAAGGCTGCGAATTGTTCATGTTCCTACCAGGCACAGTAGAAAGATACTTGTGATACTTAGAGCATTGGGTGGAGTTCCCAGAACTGTACTGTCTTAGCAATGTGGATAAATTAGCCCTAGGATGAAGGCTCTGGACAACTCTAACAGATGTAAAATCCAGCCTCACAAGGGTCCGACTGATTCCAGGTAAGTTAACTATAGCCAACACAAAGTACAACATCTTACAGGAACACCCCTTGCCCCACTGATCTAGTACCCCAAAATGTACAATTCAGTCCAAAATCAATGTTTGGCATTCAATCAAAAATTACCAGTCATTCAAAGAAGCACGAAAATATGTTCTACAACCAGGAGTAAAATCAATCAATATAATTGGACCCAGGAATGACAGCTAATGGAATCTGCAGATGAGGACACTAAAAGTTATTATAAGTATGCTTTATATGTTCAAAAAGGTGGAGAAAAGCATGAAAGACTCCAGTGAAACCTCTAGAAATGAAAAATACAATATTTCAAATATAAGATATACTATAAAAACCCACCAAGGCACATCATAATCAATTACTGAAAACCAGTGATAATGAGAAAATCATAAAAGAAGCCAGACGAAAAAGACACATTACATACAGAAGCACATATAATAGTGACAGAGCAAAGAATAAACTGCAGACAGGTCAACAAAAATGATGCAGTTTGAACAAGAGAGGGAAAAAGATTAAATGACCATTCTTTTTTTCAGCACTTTGCAAGCGTATATTCTACTTCCTCAGGGACCAGTGTGACGATAGCAATGGTCAATCCAGAATTCTATGTTTTAGAAAAGAAAAACAGCAAAATTGTTAAGAACTAGGGTTTTAAAGTTAGATCCATGTTTGAGTCCTTGGCTCTGTCATTTAATAGCCAAGTGACTGTGGGCAAGTCATTTAAATGCTAAACTTTGGTTACCTCACTTGCAAGATGTGAACAATACTTACAGCTGTACCTGATGAAAAAATTATTAGATAGCTCTTTACACAGAGCCTAGCATATAGTAAGTGCTCAATAAAGGTTACTTGTTGTCATTAAATTGTATTTTGCATACTTTACAAAATATCACTGTATGTATGGTTTATGTGGTAATTCTGCAAATACCCAATCAATCTGCTATTCCATTCCTCTTTCCAAGTAAAAAGAAGTTGATTTTGAACTAACTTTAATAAACGCTGTCATTTGATTAGATGCCAGTATAAATGATAACACTACTAACTGCTTAAAAAGACAGTCTACTCTATTTAAAAGAAAATCAGTATCAATTAGAAATAATTTAAGAATAGAAGAAACCTGAGTTATGAACATGCATATTAAAATATCACATTCAGTTCTGATTAGCATGCTTTTAAAGGCTTATCTGGAAACTAAGAAACAATTTGAGAGGGCTCAAAAATAGAATTGAGAAATCATCATGAGAGTACAAAAGCAGAAAACAAAACAAAACCACAGAGAATCTTTTGCAAGAATCTGAACTGTTTTGCAGAGAATAATCCTGGTAAGACTTTTCAAACAAGCAGATTCTTACCCATTTTTCCTACTATAAAAACACTAATTTTGATAATCAAAGGAGAGCAAAATTATACTTCAAATATATGTAAAATTGGAAATTGAAGTTATTAAAATTTCTGGAATCATATAAAAAGTCATTTTTCTTCTTATGGTCTGTTTCTCATCAAATACTTTCCCCCCAAATGACATAAACTAAATCATCCACCTGAGAAACATTCCATTTTTCCCTTCTTACTAGGAAAACTTGGAGCTTCTCAAGAAGCACTCCCAAAGGCCCACATTAAAAGCTTAATTCTGACTTCTGATCTGGAAGATTGGCTGCAGACAAGTCTAAAGGTCAAAGTGTTAATGGAAATCCATGCCGAAATAAAAAAAATAAATCTGGCTACTCCTGGACACCACAGTTGGGGGTGGACTCTGCCCTCATTTGGAAAAAGGAAATGAAGACAGGTTAACTAGTTTAAAACAACTTTATCAGGATACTAGAGGAGTTAAGATTTAGAGTCTAAATAAGTGAAGAGAGGCAGGGGGAATTTAAATAGGGAAAAGAGAGAGGAGGTCTAGGCAGAAAGGAAGGCAGAGGCCTGAAAGTGAAAGGCTGACTCAGGAGGCAATGACTAGATCATGTTTCTGGAACAGAAGGTCAGTTACAATTGGCTTTAAAAAAAGCCAAAGGGCTTTTAAAAATGTATTATTTTATTTAATACAGCCTTCCACAGAGACAAGTCAGCTATTAGCACATTCTTTTTAAATTAAAGTTAACGTGAAACTTAGGGAGGGGTGATAAAGAGCAGCTAGTGAGGGTCCTGGAGTCAGACCTGGCTTTTCTGACCTGCCCTGTGACATAAGGTCTGCGGTGCTGCAGGCTACACAGCCTGAAAAGAGCCTTCTGCCTGGATTCTCACCTATTCCTCCAAACCTGCTGAGAAGCACTTTCCCACTCCCGCAATACAATTTCAAGTACAGTGACCCTGAGTGGTGGGAAATGGCTGCGCGGTGAGTGAGGCTTCCTTTTAAGACCAGAAAGACATACCTGTCTGCAAGCCGCCGGTTCACTCCTTTTCCAAGACCCCTTCCCAAGGCCGCAGGAGCAGAAGCCAGCCTTGTCTTCTCTTTTCCCTGCTGTCATCACCTCCATTCCCACCTGGGAGCTATTAAACAGCTTGCAAATTTTCAACTTCTTTTCTAACCTGTAATGTCCGTAAAACAGGCCCCGGGCCGGAGACTCCTTCCAGGAGTCTGCTCAAAATGGGTGTCATTACTGAAGAGACTCCAGGTGGAAGCAGGATCTACAGGGCCACCCCCACTCAATTATAGTTTTCATGTTAACTTATTTTCAAAAATTTTAAATGCAAGCATGGAAAAATCAGGCTTAGATTATGAATTATAAAAGTCATAAGCAATATATCAGAAGACTTCTTCTACAGAAGGAAACTATTCCAAAAAGTAGAACTTCTCCAGGTCACATTAGATTCTTAAAATTTTAAAGCTTTTAATTATATTATTTTTTATAATATCTACTGTATCCTTTAAGATCAGAACTTTATATTACATCACAGAAATCTCTCCAGGTCAAGCACAAAGAGCTACATCATTCTTTTAATTGACTGCATGGTATTCAATTATGTAGCTATATCACAATTTAAGTAATAACTTCACTAATAAGTCTTACATGATTGCATGAAAGATTATTATATGTTTATTCTAGAAAACAAAAGAATTTCTAAGAATTCAATCATAACCCCATGTCATTAAAAAAAATCAATAAATTTAAATTGCTTTTCAGTGACATCATTGAGAAAAGCACTGTATAAAAGTATTTGGAAAAATTTTACTTTTTCTAGTTACTTGAGTTACAGGATCAGAGAAAACAGAGATTGAACCAGACCATATGGCAATCGTTCTTGTTAAAGTAACTCTGGATCAGAGAGAACACTCAGGTACAGATCAGTTATTTATTCTGGGTATCATGAATTTTTATACATGTGTTTGAATGAGCACACATCAGAAAAAGGAAGAAAAGACTTAGAAAGTGATCAATGAGCACATCTCTGCTCACTGGACAAATTTTACCTACAGCTCAGATCTTAAAATACTGGACTTCTGGGAACACATTCTGAGATTTTTCTGTAAATGGAAATGCTAGACTGGACAGTCTTCAAGGCCCCATCTTTCATATGAGAACATAATCTTCTCAAGAGTAGGAGCTGCGTTGTCTGTCCTTAAAATCTGCTGTACATACCATAGGAGATAAACAACCAGATGATTAAAAATCAACTGATGATATCTGTATGTTTCCTATCGGGTAATAGGTTACCTGTAGTAAAATGATTTCCAAAGGGAAGTATTATGTCTTGGGTTATTCTTGCAGAGTGGTTAGGAGTATAGACTCAACTCTACCTACACTCAGATCCTTGCTTTGCCATCATGGCTGAGTGGACTGGATGAGTTACTTAAGCTCTCAATGCCTTAGGCTTCCTTTATGAAAAATAGGACTCATCACTGTTCCTGTCTCACTGTGAGAATTAAATGAATTATTACACTTAAAGTGCTTAGAAAAGTGCCTGGCACATGGAAGGAGCTCAGTAATGTTAGTTATTGTTATTCCTGATACTGCATAAGATAATTTTAGAGGATTCATGGGTTAACTTTT